TTTCCCAGCCTTTTCCAGCTTTTTTTCCCAGCCTTTTCTGCTGGCTCAGCACCGGCCCTGCTCCCGGCGTTTTCCCCAGTCTGGCTTTGGAGGAACCTTTGTTTTGCCAGAGCCTTTGGCTGTGACCTCCTTGTCCCCGCCTGGCTGCAGGACAGACCCTGAGCTGTGAGGAGCCCACCTGAGTTCGGATTCCACCTGCAGCTCCTCGTGCTGATGAGATCAAGGGCTGCCAGGAGAAAAGCTGGCCCCAGCTCGCTGTCCCACCTCGCAGGCTCATCAAGCCTTCCCTGGGACAGTCATTTGCTTTTCCCGCAGCTCTTCCCCTCGCTGCCGGAGGTCAGGCTGCCCCAAACCCCGAGCCAGGGGCTGGGCAGTGCCCCCCGTGCCAGGAGCAGCAGCAGGGAGGGTCGGGCACCGCAGAGGGGAAGGGAACCAGGAGAGATCCCCGCTCCCAAAGCTCCTGCCGCGGAGCATCTCCACAAGAGAAGGCGCCAAAAGCTTCCCTGTGCCCCAGTGAATTTCTGGGGCAGGGATTGTTGCTGGTTATGGCAGAGTGAGGGAGCCCGCAGAGAATCCCAGGACCTCTGAGGCTGGAAAATCCCCCCAGGATCTGGATCCCCACCTTGTCCCCAGCCCTGAGCGCTGAGTGCCACGTCCGGTGCCACCGCCAGGGATGGGCATCCAAACCCCCCTGGGCAGCCCCTTCCATGGAGAAATTCCTGCTGATGCCCACCCTGCCCCTCCCCTGGCGCAGCTTCCCTGCTGCCAGGTCAAACCCCAGCCCTGCACATCACTCTTTTATTTTTCCAGGAATTAACTGCGTGTCTTAAACATCAAAAAGAAAAAAACAAAACCCAAATCAAACAAACGAGGTGTAACAGCCTGCTGCACGTCACTCATCCTGCAGACGTTTTTTGGGAGAGGAATGTGCTCGGAGCAAGCCAGAGCCTTTAGTCATGGGATTTCTGCTGGGAAAGAACCTCTCCGTGAGGCGTTGTCCTCCCATCCTGCTGGCAGCAGCCAGAGCCACGCATCCCGCGGGGATGAACACGCTGCTGTTCCAAGGACACAACAGAGAAACCGGTTTTTAGTACTTAATTATTTTTCTTTTTCAACCGGGATTATTTACAGTGAGATCTGGGAGAAGCAATTCACACCAAAGCAAACAGCCTGGAATATTTTAATTGTGTTAAAGCGAGTCTTGCACCCACAAAAAACAGCCCCAGGTGGTGATGGGTGCTGCTGTCGTTGCTTTGAGTGCTGTACCAGAAAAAAAACCCTTCCCCTCAGTGTTCAGCACCGAGAGAAGCCTGGGATGAATTCACTCGTGAGAGGGTGGATCAGCTTCAAGGGCCAATTTTGGGCTTATTTGGGGTGTGGAGGTCGCTGCTGGTGCTCGTGGTGAGCCACCAGCCCTCCTGGGCTGGCACCAGCAGCACGGGGCTGGCACAATCGGGGCTTGGCTCCCTAAAAATGTGCTTGGGATGGGCAACAAGCCTGGCCCGGGTCCCTGGCGCCCAGCGAGCTGCCAGGAGCTCGAGGTGGCCCCAGCAGCGCTTCCCTGGGGAGCAGGAGCAGCACGGAGAGCTCAGAGTGCTCCTGTTGCTGCTCCTGGCCTTGGAACTTCCCACTCTGAACTTCCCATGGCCCACGGCTCCCTCTGGGAGCCCTTTGGCACCTCTCCTGCCCAAATTCCTGCCCCAGGTGCCAGAGGGAGAGTGCCCCAGCCCCAGGGACCCACAGAGCCCCACAGCCCTGCCCAGCCTTCTCCATCTCACTCAAGGGATAAATTGCTGGCTCTGCCTGTCACAGCCCCCAGCCCCTGGCAGGGGGAGGCTGGGGAAGGTTTTTTCCCTCCAAAAAAACCTTCAGGACACAGTCCTGGTAGGATTCAAAGAGAAAGAAGTTGACATTTCAGCCAATTCCACGTGGAAAGTTTTACACACAGCTTCAGCAGATTCTGCTGGAGTAGGAAACAGTAGAGGAGCCCTAAAGACAGGAAGGGGTTAAATGCCTGATGGTCTCAGAAGAGGAAGAAATCCTGCACTTAAACGTAAAGATGAGATTATAAACAACTCTGTTAACCAAAACTATCTGAAACCTGAGAGGCTTTTGTCACTGCAATCCCAATTTAAGTACTGTAGTCAGCCTAACATATTGCTACCAGAAATCTGGGCTGCTTGGAGTCAAACTGCCTCTGCCTAAAAGCTGGGGAGGGCGAAGGGCACGGGCATTTGTCCTGATGTTCTTCTGACAACAAAGGCAGAGAACAGCTGCAAAAAAAGTGTCCTGTGTGGTCAGCAGGAGGAGGAGGAGGAGGAGGAGGAGGAGGAGCTGCTCTTTGGCAGCTCTGGCCCTCCACGTGCTTTAGGCTGATTTTGGAGTCCTTCACAGAGACGAGAATAACGATAGCGGAGGCAGCACTTCCCCGGCGGTGCAGAGCCCGGCCGTGCCCGGTCACATCGCGGTGTCGGCGGGGCTGCGCTGCCGGCCCGGCCGGCCGCTCTGCGAGCCCGTCCCGTTCTCCTGCGCGGCCCCGTTCAGGCTGGGCGGGCTGGGCGGGCTGGGCTTCTCCTGCAGCTCCGCTGGCTCCTGCGAGGGCGACATCAGCATGGTGTTGCCCTGGCTGCCGCTCTCCGTGTAGTAGGGGTCTTCAGCCTGGCGGGGACACAAGGGACAGAGTCACGCAGGGGAAGGGGCTGGGCTGGGGGCAGGGGCTGCCCACCGTGCCCAGGCAGGAGCGACAAACAGCCACAGGGCAGGGCACTGCTGCCAAGGAGGGGAGCAGAGCGCCTGAAGCCATGCAGAACAAGAAACCACCCAGGAAGTGCAGCTTTTCCTGCAGCGCCTGCAAGAGAAGCGTCAGGTTTTGTTGTTTTCTCCTAAGCAGGTTTTGGAGCCGGCCTTGCCTCGGGACAGAAGCTCTGCCGGCCGCTTCGGCCAAGGAAAAGTCACCATCGAATGGAAATGATGGAAATGGTCTCTTTTTTTCCTTCCCTTGCCCGGTGAAGTGCAGAGCTGGCTGCCAGGTGTGACAGAAGTGCAGAACTGCAGCGCTGCAGGGCTGGGCGCTGCTGTTGCTGTGAGGAGCAGGTGCCCCAAGAGAATTCCCCGGGTGTCCTGCAGCCCTGGAACTGCCAATCCCAGGTGGCAATTCCCAGCTGGAATTTCCTCAGCAGCATCCAGCACTGGACTTCACTCAGTGTCTCTGCCGTGGGTGGGCTGGACACGCCTCACCTGCAGCTGGGGCTGGCACTGCCAGGGTTCACATGGCACACGGTGCCACTGCTGCCAGCACCAGGGGCACGGAGGCAGTGTCCCTGCCTCTGCCACAGGCATTTCCCAGCTCTGGGGACATCCTTCCTGGCCGGGAAATGCCCCGTGGCCTCCCAGGACACCACTGCCCACGCTGGGCACGGATGGGGAAATTGTGGCCCGGCCTCACTTTACACAGAGGCACATCCCCAAAAGTCACCGGAGGGGAGGAGTCCTCAGGGTCAGCCTGCCTGGAAGGGGGAGAATGGAAATAGGAAATTTCTGCCTCTTTCTTTCTTGATATGTTTTATTACCATGGCCGGTGGGGAGAAATTGCCTTTATTACAGCACGGGTACAGACACGGGACTCACACAAGGAATGGGAATTAAAGGGCGCCGCTTTTAATGAGAGACTCATGAGGTTTCAGGGGCTCTGGAGGGGTCTTGCTGGATGAGCTCTTACTGCTGAGCAAAAAGAAGTGTTTGTTAGACCTGGCAGGGAAGGGGGCGGTGCTGCTGCAGGAGCTGATTTTGGGAGACGAGAGAGTTCCCCCTCCCCCTGTGCAATGCCCCTGCCCTGCCCGGGCTGTCCCCCGGCCTGGGGACACAGCGGGGTGAGTACAGAGCCACAGGGGTGGGGATGCCCCTGGGGTCCCCCCTGGGCTGCCGGGCTCCTCTCTACCTGCGGCTCTGCCACCTGTAAGCACTGACCAGCCTCTGTCCCGCGGGGCTCCAGCTGCGCCGCCTCATCAGGAAATATCCAGCCAGCCCCAGGAACGCCAGCAGCAGCCCAGATGTCACCAGGGCGATCAGGGTCTTCTGAGAAGGGTCCCGCTGGCTCCTCGCACCCTCCTTTTTAAGGGATTCTATTCCAAACTGGAAAAAAAAAAACAACACACCAAAGGGAGCTGGGAGCGGGACAAACAGGAAACTTTTGCATCTGCTGCACAGGCTTCAAACAATGCTGCTCGCCACCTCCTTGGGAAGCCGCACGTCAGCAGAGCTGGGCTCTGCTGCCCCAGCCCTGCCCCAGCCCTGGAGCCCCCACAGGCTCCTTCCCGGCCTGGAGCCTCCCGTGGCACAGGGAATTTTGTCCTCTGGAGCACAAGGTTCAGAGCACCCGGCTGAGGTCTGCCTGAGCTCTGCTGTTTGCACCCCGAGACCAGCTGGGGCTGGGGCAGCCTCAGGGGAGTGCTGGGGGAGGAATTCCCTCATGCCAGCCTGGTCCTTTGGAGAAGCCCAGTGCCAATTGCATCCTGAGAGTTCTGCTTCTCTCCTTCTGCCTCTCTTGTGCTGCATCACAGAATTCCAGGCTGCTTTGGGTTGCATGGGACCTTAAAATTCCTCCAGTGCCGCCCCTGCCATGGGCAGGGACACTCCCCCCGCCCCAGAGTGCCCCAAGCCCTGTCCAGCCTGGCCCTGGACACTTTGGGGGTCTCTGCACTCATCAGGCACCCCCAAACTGGCAGGTCCACACCTCAGCGTGTCCCCCAGCTCAGCTGACCGTCCCAAGCTCTCATCCCTCCAGCCACCTGGCCAGGCAATTTCTGCAGCCAAATTTGCTTAAGGGATTTACCTTTTCCCAGTGAGACTTCTGGAGCGTGTTCAGCAGTTTGTCAGGATCTGCGAGGTTGGAAGCAGGAGAGCACATCACACAGGTTACACACATGAAATGTGTTCTGCACAGAGGTTACACACATGAAATGTGTTCTGCACAGAGGTTACACATGTGAAATGTGTTCTTCACACGCATGAAATGTGTTCATCACACAGGTTACACACATGAAATGTGTTCATCACAGAGGTTACACACATGAAATGTGTTCTGCACACAGGTTACACACATGAAATGTGTTATTCACACACGTTAGACACATAAAATGTGTTCTGCACACAGGTTACACACATGAAATGTGTTCTTCACACACGAAATGTGTTCTGCACACACGTTACACACATGAAATGTGTTCTGCACACACGTTACACATTCCAGACACGGATCACACACTCTGCAGCTCAGGGCACACCAAAGAGCCTGCAGGACCCCAGCAGAATTGCAGAGTTTCTCCTCCCAGGATCTGCCCCACAAGAACCCCTGTCCCACTGCCCACTCCGTTGTCTGGGGATGCTCTGCACTGACCTTCCTCTCCTCTGAGGATGAGGAGCAAACAGCCCCTGTCCAGGCTGGATGGAGTGAGCTGGATCTCGCAGGGGGACTCCACGGTGTGGGTTCTATTTTCACATAGTGCTTGCCATAAATCCGATCCCTTCCTCTGCAAAAAGTGCTCCTGCCAAATTTTCAGAAAGAAAAGCCATTAATCCAAGCAAACGGAGCAATTCTCTGCTTGGCCACGCTGGTGGAGGTGTTGTGCTTTCCCATTTGGATTTTGGTGCCCTGCAAAGCTGAGCTGGGTGTCAAACCCTCTCCTCCCACTCCAGCACTGCCCAGACCCCCAGCACCTTGGAGGTGGAGGTGCTCATTTCTTAATGAAAATAGATTATATGGAAGTGTTATTAGCAACTCCTGAAAATGGCATTGAAACAGAGCTAAATTTAGGCTCTGAATCGCATGGCAAGTCTCCCCAGTTTTTGGGCTGGAACAACTGAAGAGCCCTATTGTTTCAGAGTCCCAGGCAGGGGCTGGGAAAGGAGGGAAATAACAAAGAAGCATTGAGCCTTCCTGTTTAGGAAATGTCTTCAATGTTTTTGCTAGGTTGCTGATCAAAGGCTAGGTAAAAAACCACATTTCTCACATTTTAGAGCTGGACTGGCTCTGGTGGGGGTGGGAGGGGGGGAAGAGGAAGAGGAGTGAGGAGCTGCAGCCTTTGTGGGCCAGTTTCTGGATCAGACAGGATGGGTTTCTCCTCGGGACTATTCTCAGCCACAGCCAGGCTCGCAGACGGAGCCCAGCTTTGCCAAAACCCTGCTCAGCCTCCCTGCCCCCTCCTGTGCCCACCCCAGAGACAGAGAGCTCCTCGGAGCCCTGCCTGGGCTGGATCCCACCCCGGGCTGTGGGAGGGAGAGCCCCCCTGTCCTGCCAAGGGCTCAGTGCCCTCCTCCCTCTGCCCGGAGCTGCCCCAGGACCATCCTCGGGTCCCTCCGTCCTCTGAAATGCAAAAACACAGAAACTCCTCCACGGGAGAACAACAAACAAATCGTTTTCAGCTGTTTCTATAGAGCTTGGCTCAGGGGGGAGGAAGGCCGGGATGGAACAAGAGACCCAAGTGTGTATTTTCCTTTCTGTGCTGTGGAAAGAACTCATCGGAGTGTCAGAGTTTCCCTTTGCAATTAGCGGCGCCGGTGCCAGCTGATTGCTCATTTGCCTCGGGAAAGGCCAGCGGGACAGAGGGACAGAGGGACAGAGGGACAGAGGGACTGCTCTTATCTGGTTCCTGTATCAGCTGCAGCCCCTGGTCCCACCCCGGGGTGCTGAGGGGAGGCTCTGCTGTGGGGTGGGAGCCTCCAGAAAGCCCCGCAGGGAGCTGGGGGTGCTGGGGGGTTCCACAAGGAGGAAGGGCTGGGCTGTGCTGCTGTGGGATGCTCTGATGTGCCCTGGCATCCATTCACACACCCAACCCGTGCCCAGCCGGGGCAGAGCCCACTGCATGGCAGCTGAGAGGGAACCACGGGCACCAGCAGGGGTTTCCCTCTGGGTCGCTGCTCCCTGTGAGCAGGAGCCAGCCTAAATGAGTTTAATCACTCGTGTGCAGCAGCACGGCACAACGACAACATTAAATCGTATATTTTACATAGATCTCGCACCCGGGGCATTGCTGGCTCACAAGACCCAGCAGCATCCACCCTTGGGGCAGGCTGTGCCTCCAGTGGGAGGTCAGAGAGGTTTATTGCTCCCTCCCCAGCAGAACCCCCTCTGCTGCTACAAACGCCCCATTCGTGGTGCACAAGGCCAAGGCTGGTGACAGAGAGCCTAGGATTCCCTCAGGAGATGCTGGGGACGCTGAGCAGCTCCTTGCAATGCCCTGTTTTCTTTCCTAGGCCACTTGGCAAGACAAAAAAAAGGCACTTTTGTTTCTAACAGGGGAGAGGAAGAAGAAGAACAAAGGCAGCTTCCTGTTGGACACGGTGGGAGATGCTTTGGAAGCTGAACTGACCAGAGGAAAAAGGCAAAAGGAGGATGTGTGCAGCCAGGAGGTCTCACTTCCCCTGGAACTGCTGGGATCTCTTTGGGATCCATCCCTTAGGGATCCATCCCTTTGTGATCCAATCCTTTGGGATCTACTCATTTGGGATCCATCTCTTTGGGATCCATCCCTTGGAGATCCATCCCTTTGGGATCCACAACTTTGGGATCCATTGTGTTAGGATCCATCCCTTTGGGAACCACCCCTTTGGGATCCATCCCTTCGGGATCAACTCCTTTGGGATCTATCTCTTTGGGATCCATCCCTTTGGGATCCATCCCTTTGGGATCCACCCTTTTGGGTTTCATCCCTTTGGGATCCTCCTGGCACTGTCCCCTCCTGCAGCAACCCCAGGGGGAACTGCTGGGAGCCCCCCACCCCAAGGAGCCCCCGGGGACACTCGGGGACACTCAGGGACATGCAGGGACACTCAGGGACGCTCAGAAACATGCAGGGATGCTCAGAAACATGCAGGGATGCTCAGGGACATGCAGGGACAATCAGGAACATGCAGGGATGCGCAGGGATGCTCAGGGACACTCGGGGACACTCAGGGACATGCAGGGACACTCGGGGACACTCAGGGACATGCAGGGACATATGGGGACACTCAGGGACATGCAGGGATGCTCAGGGACACTCAGGGACACTCAGGGACATGCAGGGATGCTCAGGGACACTCAGGGACACTCAGGGACATGCAGGGACATACGGGGACACTCGAGGACACTCAGGGACACTCAGGGACATGCAGGGATGCTCAGGGACATGCAGGGATGCTCAGGGACACTCAGTGACACTCAGGAACACGCAGGGACAGTCAGGGACACTCAGGAACCCTCAGGGACACTCAGGGACACTCAGGGACATGCAGGGATGCACAGAGACACTCAGGGACACTCGGGGACACTCGGGGACATGCAGGGACATACGGGGACACTCGAGGACACTCAGGGACACTCCTCAAGGACACTCACGCAGGTGCTGGACTCGTTGAGCCGCAGGCAGAGGGTCCCGCTGTCCCCCTCCTGCCCGGGGCGCCGGTGGCAGTCGATGGCAGGGACGGGCGGCTGGCAGGGAGAGCACACGGGGGTGTCAGTGCCCTGCTGGGCCGGGGGCTGCCCAGCCTCCCCTGGCACCCCTCCTCACCTGGGCGCTGGTGGCCCGCGGGGCGGTGGTGGCTGGCACAGTGGGGCGCTCCGGGGTGGCCGCAGGGCTGGGGGGAGCGGGGGTGTCCGCCCCGTCCTGGGGCTGTGTCGGGGGGCTCAGGCTCCCGGGGACCCCTGAGCTCCCCGGCAGCCCCAGGGAGGGGCCCGGCAGCGCTGTGGGGGCCGGGCTGGGCTGGGGGCTCGTCCTCAGCTGCCCCAGGAGCCGCGGCGACGTCGGGCTGGCGGCACCTCCAGCTACGCAGAGAGAAGGGCACAGAGAGGCTGAACCCCGAAAACTCAGCGTGGGCATTGCCCTGTCAGCCAGCAGCAGGAGCCATTGGCTCTCTGAGGAACCCTCGTTAGCCCTGGTTCTGCTGCCTAATTGCACTAATTGCACAGTCGGGGGCACAGCGGGCTCATTTCCGGGCCACCAGGGCAAAGGTGCCATTGCCACCCCGCCCCTGGCATTGCCACCAGCTCCTCCTTGGCCCCAAGGAGGCTCTGACCCCAAAGAGCAGCAGGGAAAGGCTCCCTGCATCCTCCCATCCCTTCAGAGCCCTCCAGAGCCTGAGCTGGGCCTCCCATCATGGAATCCCACACTGGTTTGGGTTGAAGGGACCTTAAAAATCCCACCCAGTGCCACCCCTGCCATGGCAGGGACACCTCCCACTGTCCCAGGAGCTCCCAGCCCTGTCCAGCCTGGCCTTGGGCACTGCTGGGGATCCAGGGCCCCCCACCCTCCCAGGGAACAATTCCTAATTCCCAATATCTAATGTAAACCTCCCTCCTCCAGCCTAAATCCATTCCCCCTCATCCTCTCTCCCAAAGGGACTCTCACAGGTGCCTCTTCCCACATGTGTGGAGAGATGAACATTACTGAGCTCTTTGTTTTGAGCAGGACGGGGCTGAGCTGCCTGGATTGGGCATTTTTTTGGATGGAATTAAAGCTTTTGACCATACTCAGCCTCTATTTTCGAGAGCACAAACCACGCCTTAAGGAGCCCATACAGTTAATAAATCTAATTATGGACCCGGAAAACTCCAGGAGTGACAGAGGGAAGAGGGGGAGAGGTTACCAGAGGTGGGCCTGGCGCTGCTGGTGTCCCCCGGCGCTGTGCTGGCAGCGGTGGCACTGCTGGCTGTCCCTGTGCCGCTGTCCCTCGCTGCCAGGGCCGTGCCCGCCGGGCTGGGGGTGGCCGTGGTGCTCCCAGCAGTGCAGCCTGAGGGAACAGGGAACTCTCAGGGGCTGCTGAACCCCCAGCCCAGCCCCGAGCCCCTGGGGGAAAGCACGAAAGCTTGAGCTGCTCTCCCAAATTGGCTTCTTCTGGCCCCAAAATGGCAGGGGGCACATCTGGGAGAGGCTCAGGGGTGAAACTTTTCGCCTGGGTGAGCAGCAGAGGCTGGTGCAGCCCTTGCAGGGGCTGCAGGGCTCAGAGGAGAAGGACAGGCTCTGCCCTCACCCCACCCCGTCCTCAGCTCGCTGGTGGATGCACAAAGCTCTGCACAAAGCTGGATTTCAGAGCAGTTTGGGTTTATAATCCTGGGAGGAAAGAATCAGGACTTGGAAGAGATCACTTGTGTGCCTCAGGATAGATAAGTTGGATTTACAGTTGCAGGCACAATCTCAAAGTAAATAGAAACATTCCCACTGGCTCGGGATCAGCCCTGACTCATGAGCGAAAACATCTTTGGAGGTAAAGCAGAATGTTTGGAGAGTGGTTTGCTGTTCAAACTTAAAGTTTATATATTGCTTCCTGCTGCCTTGCAGAGATCACACTTCCAGCTTTTCCTTCTGAAATGAGCTGTGCAAGTCAATGAAAATGCATTTCCCCCCATTCCTTAACTCCTCTCTCCCTAAGATCTGTTCCCACTTTTAACAAACAGCTCCAGTCTCTACCCCAGGGCTCTTGGTGTTTAAGATTCTTATCCAGGCACTAAGGAGAAAATCATACAGAATGTGTTGTTTCATTTGTAGCTCTGCCCAGGGGAACCCCAGCTCCAAGAAAAGTTACTTCATCCTCCCAAACCACCCTGAGAGATGGAGCAGCTCTGGCAGGTCCTGAGCAGGATCTGCTGCCAGGGAAACAGCGCCGGGCACTGGGCATGGGCCTGGCAGGAGCTGCTCTTGGCTGGGTCAGCTCCACAGGGCTGCAGAGTTTGGGAAGAGCAAAGCCCGAGGCCACCGGGGCTGGTTTTGGCCGTGGGTGGCAGGGGCAGAGCTGGGTCCTGCTGGGGGAGGCTGGGCTGCAGGGGAAATGTGGGGCTCAGACTGGTCCTGGGGGGCTGCCCATCCTGATCCATCCCATCCTGTCCATCCTATCCATCCCATATCCCATCCCATATCCCATCCCATCCCATATCCCATCCCATCCCATATCCCATCCCATCCCATCCCATCCCATCCATCCCATCCCATCCCATATCCCATATCCCATATCCCATATCCCATATCCCATATCCCATATCCCATATCCCATATCCCATATCCCATATCCCATATCCCATCCCATCCCATCCCACCCATCCCGCAGCTGCTCTGGGGGCCCTGCTGAGGTGCAGGTGTCTGGAGCTGGAATTTGGGTTCTGGCACAGCTTTGAGTTCAGGGGGAGAAGTTCCCTCTTCTCCAGGACAACTCAGTTCCAGCTGGTTAAGTCCCCGAGTTTTCCTGCTGACTTTTAACACATGAAAAGCAGGAGGCAGCACCGTGTGCCCAGAGTAAGGAGCAGCCCAGAGGCAGAGCCAGGCCTTAGGCAGGGCCAGGATTTAGCAGAGCCAGGCTTTAGCAGAACCAGGCTTTAGCAGAACCAGGATTTAGGAGAGCCAAGATTTAGCAAAACCAGGATTTAGGCAGAACCAGGATTTAACAGAGACAGGATTTAGCAAAACCAGGATTTAGCAGAACCAGGATTTAGGCAGAGCCAGGCTTTAGCAGAACCAGGCTTTAGCAGAACCAGGATTTAGCAGAACCAGGATTTAGGCAGAGCCAGGCTTTAGCAGAACCAGGCTTTAGCAGAACCAGGATTTAGCAGAACCAGGATTTAGCAGAGCCAGGATTTAGCAGAGCCAGGATTTAGCAGAGCCAGGCTTTAGCAGAACCAGGATTTAGCAGAACCAGGCTTTAGCAGAACCAGGCTTTAGCAGAACCAGGCTTTAGCAGAACCAGGATTTAGCAGAGCCAGGATTTAGCAGAGCCAGGCTTTAGCAGAGCCAGGTTTAGGCAGAGCTCAGCTCTGTGGCCACCAGCAGGACACTTCACATCACCAGAACAAAGCCTGGCCCTGACCTCCGCAGGTGCCTCACCCAGCACCTCTGAACTCCTCCAGATGTTTGCAGAGCACCCGAGCTGCTCCTGATCAAAGCCTTTTCAGCACTGAATTTTGGAGTGGAGGCCTGGCTGTTGCTCAGTGTGATCTGGGAGAGGAGCTGGCACTTTGGATTTCTTCTCCTTGCCTTTCTTGGAGCATGTGCAGCAGCTTTCCCACAAAACATGGATGAGGGTTTTTTTAAAGTCTCTGGGCTCGTGAGATAAATAATGATCCAGATGTGGGCTGGATAATCCACGTGGTGCTCAGCTAAAGAGGGTTATTTATTGCACCATACATTTTTAATGGCTTTATTAAACTTTGTCAGTTTGTTAGGATTGAGGGTTTAGAGTTTAAGCCAAGCTATTTATTAACCTGGGAGAAATCTTCACCTGGCAATGCAAGCATGTGCAGGAGCAAAACCATGCAGAAATGGGAAAGAAAATTGCACTTCCCAGCAGCCATCGTGTTCACACCCCTAGGTTTTAAAAAGTAAATGACTTCTTAAAGGTATTCTAATAATGGGGCTTAGGAAGGATCTTAGATTGAATAAAGAAAAGACAACAAT